GGACCTCTGCAGCGCCCCCATCACCCCCGAGTTCTCCCCCCTCCCCTGGAGCTCGGCCCCAGGCCCCCCAGTGTCTCCCGGAGCCCCGGTTCCCCGGCTCTCACCTTGGCGCTGTAGAGGTTGTCATAAAACCGGCTGCTGTCGGCCGCTTCCCACGCGCGGTTCTGGGCGTCCCGGCAGCTGGGGCAGAGACAGACAGCGTGGCGGCAGCGTGGCTGGAAGACGTTGAGGATGGGGCCTGACTGGGGTCCCCCCGACCCCCTGTTCCTCTCCTGAGTGAGAGCATCAGGCGTCGTCTGTCCCCCATTGAGGAGGCTGTCAACACTACTCCTGCCCCCCATCGAACATCTCCTCTAGATAAATGCGGCCCGACCTCGCTGGCCGGTCCCTGGTAGTCTGCCCCCGTTAGCCTGCCCTCCGCGCTGCTAATCATCCTTGCTGCCCTGCTCTGGACCTTCTCGGAGACAGCAGGATGTGCCCCAGGAGCTGGAGCCACGGGGTTGAAGAGGGGGCTTCGGGCAGTCAAGCTTCCCCTCAAAACATCAGCTCCAAGGGCAGTGGAGCCCAAAAAAGCCCATCAGTGGGGGGTCGTGAGGAAGGGGATCACAAATGATGCAGAGAGCGTGCCCTGCCGCGGTGCCCGCCCACACCATGAGTGCCAGGGGCACCAGGGGGCTGGAGAACTAGAAAAGGTCCAGGGCAGGGTAGCCAGTGGGATCGAGGGGCCTGGATCAAGTAATCCACAGTGGATCTAGAAATCCATGGGTGAATCTATTAACCTATCGATTGACCCACAGAGTGGTGCTGGACAGGTCCTATTCGACCTGGAGGGCTGTGGGCAGTGGGGTCCCCAGGGCTCGGGCCTTGGGCCCGCACTGTTCAACATCTTCATCAGTGACTTAGACGAGGGGGTGGAAAGCAGCTTGTTCAAATTCACAGACGACACTAAGATGTGGGGGGAGGTGGGCACGCTAGAAGGGAGGGATAGGCTGCAATCGGACCTAGACAGGTCACAGGGGTGGGCCGATGAGAACAGGATGGGATTCAACACTGACAAGTGCAAGGTGCTGCACCTGGGGGGGAAGAACCAACAGCAGACCTACATGCTGGGGAACTCCCTTCTCATCAGTGCAGAGGCAGAAAAGGATCTTGGAGTCATTTTAGACTCCAGGATGGACATGAGCCGACAGTGCGGGGACGCGGTCAGGAAGGCCAACCACACTTTGTCGTGCCTCCATAGATGCATCACAAGCAGGGCCAAGGAGGTGATCCTCCCCTTCTATATGACACTGGTCAGGCCACAGCTGGAGTACTGCGTCCAGGTCTGGGCACCGCACTTCAGGAGGGATGTGGGCAGCATGGAGAGGGTCCAGAGGAGGCCACCTGCATGGTCAGGGGCAGTAGGGCAGGCCCTACGAGGAGAGGCTACGGGACCTGAACCTGGTCAGCCTCCACAAGAGAAGGCTGAGAGGGGACCTGGTGGCCTGTTACAAACTAGTCAGGGGGGACCAGCAGGCAATGGGGGGGTCCCTGTTCCCCCGAGCACTACCGGGAGTGACTAGAAATAACGGTCACAAGCTGGCAGAGGGGAGATTCAGACTAGACATCAGGAGGCGCTACTGCACAGTCAGGGCGGCTAGGAGCTGGAACCAACTTCCAAGGGAAGTGGTGCTGGCTCCTACCCTGGGGGTCTTTAAAAGGAGGCTGGATGAACACCTAGCCAGGTCGTTTGACCCCAGCATCCTTTCCTGCCCAGGGCAGGGGGTCGGACTTGATGATCTGCTCAGGTCCCTTCTGATCCTACAACTATGACACAATAACTAAACTATGATCTATTAATCCATGGATCAATCTGTTAATCCAGGCACAGGCAATTATATTGGGTGGAGGGCCACTTGCTGAGTTTTGGCAAGCCATGGAGGGCCGCATGACAGGCAGCCGGGGCAGATAAATACTAATTTTCTACATTTTTTAGGGGCCCTGCGGGCCGGATAGAAGGCCTGGCGGGAGCCCACGAGCCACATTTTTCCCACCCTGTGTTAATCCTACGGATCCATCTATTAAACCACTGATGGATCTGCTAATCCATTGATTGATCTATTAGTGCAGGGATCCATCCATTAATCCACTGACCAGTCTATTAAACCACTGATGGATCTGTTAATCCGCCGACTGATCTATTAGTTTGGGGATCAATGTATGATTCCACGGATGGATCACTGAATCCACAAATCAGTCTGCTAATCCACCAATTCATTTATTAATCCGATGATGGATCTATCGATCCATGGATCGATCTGTTAATCCATTGATGGACCTATTAATCCATGGGTCTATCTATCGATTCATGGAGATCCATGGATCAATCTATTGATCCACTGACAGATCCATTGATGCACAGATGCAGCTATGATGATGGACCCATTAGTCCGCAGCTGTCGAACCGGAGGGGTGGAGCAGTTTCCGCCGGTCCCTCTGCCCCGACGCGGGGGGTGTCAGGGCGCTGATGCCAAGGGGCTGGTTCCCTGCCCTGGAGCTCGGGCTGGTTCCAGGCTCCCCGTCCCCAGCCGGCGCGCTGACCTCTGGCGCAGACAGGGCTGGAGGGACCCCAGAGCTTCCCCCCACCGCATGCAACCTACCTGCGCACCAGCTTCATCTGCAGCACGGAGCGGCACAGGGCATTGGTGCCCACCTCCAGGATGCAGGCCGCCACCATGAGGAAGAAGAGGATGAAGGCCGAGGCTGCCAGGGCGACCCCAAGCCAGGTTCTGTCCCTGCTGGGGGAGAGGTTGGTGTGAGCGGGTCCAGGGGGCTGGGGCCCATGCCCCCCCCTCCTGTGCCCACTGCTCACCACAGCCCATCGTCCACGCAGCAGCTGTAGATGCCGTGGAGCAGGGCGGAGAAGGCGGCCAGGGCAGCTACCACGGCCACGGCCGAGACGAAGTAGCACAGCGAGGCCGGGCTGTCGGCCGCCAGCATCAGCGTCGACCCATTGGGGCGCACCTCCCCGTACAGCATGCAGTGCCCGCCAAACTGCCCCTGCGGGGAGAGGGGGTTATAGCTGGGGGGGCACTGACTTGACACCCTCCCCCCGAGCACTGCAGTGCAGGGTTCCTGCCCGGCTGGGGTCCACAGCGCCGCCCGGCTAGGAAAGCAGAGTTGTGGGGGGGCAATGTCCTGGACTGCCCGGGGGGGGGGGGGGCGGGGTGCGGGGGGGGGGGGGGGGGGGTATGTGTGTGCACGCACGCGTGCACATGCTGAGTTTTCTGTGTGTCTTTGTGTGTACATGTCTCGGACACCTGGGTTATGTGCATGTGTCCTGGATGCTTGGGTTCCATGTGTGTGCACACATGCATGCACACGTGTCCCAGGTGTGTGTGTGTGGGTCCCATGTGCCTGGGGCCTGCATGTGTCTGTGTGTGTACGCATATAAGTGCATCTCCATCTGTGTGTGTGTCCTGGATGCCTGGGGAAGGTGTGTGTGTGTGTGCATGTCTTCTGGATGCCTGGGTTCTCAGTGTGCATGTGTGTCCTGGATACTCTAGTGCTTAGCGTGTGCATCCCAGATGCCGGGGGGGGGAGGAGGGGTGTGCACGCACCTGTCTATTTGTCCAGGATGCCTGGGATGTGTATGTGTGTGTTGCAGACACCTGGGTTCTGTGTGTGTGTGTGTGTGTGTCCCAGATGCCTGGGTGGGACGCATGTGGGTGTGTCTATGCACACCCATGCGTGAATCTCCATCTGTGCGTCTGTCCCGGGCACCTGGGGTGGGGATGGGAGGGTGCGTACACGTCCTGGATGCCCAGGCTTTGTGTGGGGCTGCCCTGCATGCCTGGGGGGGGCTGTCCCAGCTGCCTGAGGTCTGTGTATGTGTATGTGTGTGTGTGCACGCATGTGTCAGTATTTCCTGGACACGTGGGGGTGTGTCCCCCAGACACCTGGGTTCTCTGTGTCCACACGTGTGTGTTCAGCTGCATAGCTCGGTGCATGTCAGCCGGCCCTTCCACCCGAGAGAACTTTGAAGCCACCAAGTGACACCACCGAGGCTCTGCAGGGCAGCCAGTGGCAGAGCCACTCCTGCCCCCTCCACCCTTCCCTGCCAGCCCCGCTCCCCAGACAGCTGAGCCCCGTGGCCCTTCCCTGCTGCCTTCCTGGGGGCGGGGGGCAGGGTCCGTCTGTCCTGAGGGCTGGGGCAGGGACAGACCCCCCCCCTTGGCCTGCCCTGGGCAGCGACAGCAGGTCCCAGCCCCCAATTTAACCCTCTCCAGCCCCCCGCAGTGCCGCAGCTAAGGGAGAGGGCAAAGTCCATCCAACTCTGCTGTGCTGCAGGAGGGGGGAGCTCTTTGCAGCCCCTCAGCCTGGGGAGGAAGGCAGGAAGCCCACCGCGCCCCAGCTGCAGGCTAGGGGGTGCTGCTGGCCCCCCTCGTGCCCCCAGGGCCAGGAAGAGGGGGACAGACCTCAGCCAAGGGGGTCTCCAGGCCCCCCTGATCCCCAGTACCTGGGTGACAGTGAGGGCCGAGGCGCAGATGATGCCGCAGAGGAAGGCAGCGCCGTGCAGGGCCAGCTGGGCCAGCTGCAGCGCCGACAACGCCATCTTCCACCCTGGCCGGCGCTGGCCCGGCCCCCTCCTTCCTCTTCCCTTCCCCTGCAGGCCTGGCCCAGCCCCGCTCAGCCCGGGCCCGTGGCGCAGCTGCACGTGGGCTGCCTGGAGCGCCAAGGCCGGGGCCAGGCCCCCACCGCTGCCCCCAACGACAGGGCTCAACCCCCCTGCCGGACTCGAGCAAGGCGGAGGAGACCGGCCTTGACCCCCGGCCCCTCGCACGGGAGACGACCCAGGCGTCCCAGCTCCCAGCCCTCATCTACCTCCCTCCCAGCCGCCTGCCCTGCTCCAACTCCCCCTCCCCAGAAGCAGAGGACCCCCGCGTCCTGGCTCCCAAGTGCCCCTGCTCTCACCCCCAGCTGGGATCAAACCCAGGGGTCCAGACTCCCCCGTCAGCCCCCACTGCCGTTGCAGAGCTGGACAGGGCCCAGGGGTCCGGGCTCCCAGCCACCCCCAACCCCACCTCCAGGCCAGGGCTGGGGAGACCCCGGGAGCCCCCCACTGCAGGGACAGCGCAAAGCCGGGAGAAAAGACACACGCGAAAGCCGAGACAGGTCCTAGGTCCTGGGCCCTGGCGGCCGCTGTGTCTTTATTCAAGCACCAGCCCCCCGGGGGGGCGCCGGGAAAGGCCGATGCCCCCCAGGGCGCAGGGCTCAGAGGGGCAGGTAAAGGGAGTACTCGGAGAGCCGCCACTTGCGCAGGGGCCGGGCCGTGCGGCCGATCATGGGCAGCTTCTGGGCATAGCGGGACACGTGGCCGGGCCCGTGGTGCTGGGGGAAGCAGGTCTGGAAGAGGCGGCCGGGGCAGCGCCGCCCGGCCTGGCGCCCCGCAATGACGAAGCTGAAGCGCGGAGCCCCGCGCGGCGCCAAGCGGCTCTTCTGGAAGACGTCGCGCACACCGGGCCGGTGCCCGGGCTGCCGGGGGGTGCCGCGGGCACGAGGGGCTGCAGCCGGCCGAGGGGGCGCGGGGCGCTCGGCCCGGGGGGGCCCCTCATCCCGGGGGCTGGCAGGG